CAACAGACATCGAGAAATCCCTTAGTCCTTCATTCGCTAGCCTGGAATATAGACGACAAGAAACACCGAGAATTTCCTCAGCCCTTCATTCTCTAGCCTGGAATATAAGCGACAAGAAACATCGAAAAATCCCTCAGCCCTTCATTCTCTAGCTTGGAATATAAGCGACAAGATACATGTCGAAAAAAAATATAACGATAAAATAAGGACGCTACCCGAGGAATTATTACGGTTTCGTTTCATGGCCCTCGAACAAGGATCTGCAGAGGATTGCTCGATCCTTATACTCGCCATATAGTCAAAGTTCCCCACTCCATCCTGACGTCACCGCAGACCCGTTCCAATACATTTAATGTTACGGGGCGGAATTTTACTCAATTTTCCTTGATTTTTTTCGACATTTTTAAAGTAATTTCCGGGAAAACAAGTTTTGTAATCTACTTTCCAATTTGTGTACGTGAAATAGTGGTTACATTGATTTAAGGTGAAGTGAAACACGTCGAGAAATTTGATCTACGTCGATAGAAAAGATTTTTCTAAATGCCTATGTAGCCGACGTTCGTTTTTATATTGACAGCAGTGTCGAATTATATTGAGTATTGTACTAAATAACATACTCCATATGCCCTTTCCGTAGAATAATTATAGAGAGATCGAAGTAAAACTCCAGAAATACCCTGGATTCATGATTTTTGATGCCCTAATTGATTGCAGAGTGACACTCTGTGCCATCTGTGATTTCAGTGGCAACTAAATTTCTTCTCTGAGACCTTGCGTTACCTTCGCTTCAGCATAGAAGCGTATAAAACACTTTTCTTCGCCTTTATCCCGGTGAAAATCGAATTTCTCGATTACTAGAGTGTTCTAAATTGTTGTACAATTGTCCTGACACTTTCGTTTTTTATATTGGAGCCTTCAATAATTGGATATTGATCGAAATATAAGAGCTCGATGCCATTTTGGTTCCAGTATGGGCTAAACGGATCTGGGCCTGGGTCTTGAACTAAATGCTGTATTTATTCATTTCTTTTATCGGTACATAAGCAACCTAAAACCTGCAGGCCAAGTGCCATCCGTGAAAGAGAAATCATCTTTACTATTAAGCAAGATTCGTGATTTAAAGATACATATCTGGGGGAAATGAAATATTTTAATTCTAACACCTACTATCAATGAAGCGACCGTGAACGGTGTAGCGCCATCGATAAGTCTTTCGCAAACATAGCGTAAACCGCTAATCATTGATCTGTCTCTATATATCAGATTCCGATATCGTATTAAAACTGTAAATACAAGACTGGTGCCTCCTAAGCTGCGAGATTCGCGGACAGGCTTTGCGTCGACATCCCAATCCGTGATAATCTTAATTAATAATTTCCAGTAAAGAGTTAAAAATATAAAAGGGTTCTGCTACAGAACCGAGATTCACGGAAAGCAACCCGACGACGTCCAAACTACATATAATACCGAAGTATAGTATCTATACACTTAATCGAACTTTTTTTCAAAACATTATTTCGAAATTTCGTCCACAATTATGTTCGGGATTTTAATACACAAGTATATGGATTTCAGAGGACATGTATACCAAAATTCAAAATCTGTTGTATATACTAATTTTCAATTACATCTGTGAGAATTCATAGGCAATTGTGTATCAAAATATTTAAATATTAAATATTAATATTAATATTTTTTATTATTTACAGAATATTATTATTTTTTAATATTTATTACTCTTTAACTTGAACACCGAAGTTAATCGAAAAGAAACGTTTCTTAAATGAAGAAACCTCAAGTATACGAATGAAAATATTCTCGATATTCTCGGTACTTACAGTATGGTTTACAGTTACCTTCTTCGATTTTATATTACCGAGACTTTTCGAACTCTACTCCGGGTGCCCCCGAAGCTCCGAGAATTCGCGGAAGACAGGGCCGTCGCCGCCCCGCAGTTGCACGCATAAGCGTCGGTGCAACGTGGGGCAGTGGCGCAGCAGTCGCCCCGGATTCACCATTCGCCGCCATTGCGAATCTGCGATCCAGCGACGCCGCGTCGATGGCGGTCGACGGCGCGAAGATACCTAGGCAATCGTTGCGACATCGATCTCCACTTTTTCTTATCATCGCCCTGGCCTCCTTCTCGCGTAAGGAGACCCAAGAGGTATTACAGTTATGCGAGTCGGCGTTCCTCGTTCCTCGTTCCGCGGTTTGAGGTTAAGCGAGATCTCGCCGCGTCGAGCTCGCGATCCCGCAATCCTTGGGGGTCGTGACGTGCGGTATCCTCGAGGGTCATGTCGCAAGAATTCGATTCGACGGTTACGTTTCCGAATTTACCTTCCACCCGAATGACTCGGTGCGAGGAACGAGGAAACCTGCGACGAGCGGACGCGACAGTGCCGTAGGTAACTAGTTTTCCTCCAGGGGCGTGCGCGCCAGTTAGAGTTGGGAAAGTAAGACTAAAAAAATCTTAAAAAATTACAGACTCTACAAAACGGAACGTACTTTAAGGCGATATGAAAGGGTCATTCTATATATCAAAACGGCAAAATATTTATTAAGCTTCTCTTCAAACTGGGTGCACCGAGTCATTTGAAACTTTAACCCGTGATCATGGAGACCCTAAGGAAGAACGTGATGCTCGTGAAATTTTACTTTCCAAACAAAAATGTTTGACTTGGCCTAGACTAAAATCAAGATAACAGTCTTTTGTGAAAAAAGAAAATTTCAAGAACATCGCGTTCTTCCTTAGGGTCTCCATAATCACATGTTAAAATTTCAAATGATTCGGTGTACCCAGTTTGGAGAAAAGTTTTATAAATATTTTAACGTTATATATATATATACACACACATATACATATATTGATCCCTTCATATCACCTTAATTATGCCAAACGCGGACTCATGATACATCCTCCGGTCGGTAAAGTGTTAACAGAGAAATAAATATTTATTCATTTGATGCGCCGAATTTTGGCGTTAAGTAGTCGGTGCCGTATGCGCATGCTTCTTTATGTACGTGGCGCGAAACTCTATTGAGTTTCCTGACACCCCGAATAGTTTTTTTTTTTTTTTTCCAGTAAATTACTAGGTACTTGGCATCAAGAGTTCTGTACGCGACATAGATTGCCGGTATATGGGACTTTACGTTTCCCTAGTTCATGTTCCTATTTCTGGGCGGTAATGAGCATAACCTCCACGATTTAATGTGATAATTTGAATCTTTATTACAAATAAGGTAGGAGTAGAGGCAGGAAACTGCCGTACAAAAGCAACAATGAATTGGGTTTCCTTTTCAAAAAGGAGTGGAGGTGTAGCATTTTGCCACGAATTTAGAAATTCTTAGTTTTTCATAGAATATACGAGAAAGTGGAATGAAACCTGGAAGACCTTTTGACGTTTGCCTGATTAATTTCTTCCTTAACTAAAATGTTTATTCACATATGACGCACACTTTCAATACTGTGTAAAAGTTACGGTATCATCTTTATCGTGTAATTTGGTAGGTAAGGTGTCTAGTTTGTACGTAAAATACTTCGTTTAGGCACTTTACGTAAAAACCCTTGAATAACGCGTGACTGCATTTTGCCATGAATTCAAAAAGTCTTACTTTTTCATGGAATATACGAGAAAGTGGAACGAAGCCTGGAAGACCTTTTGACGTTTGTCTGATTAATTTCTTCCTTAACTAAAATGTTTATTCACATATGACGCACACTTTGAATACTTTGTAAAAATTACGGTACCATCTTTATCGTATAATTTGGTAGGTAAGGTGCCTAGTTTGTACGTAAAATACTTCGTTTAGGCACTTTACGTTACGTTTTAGGAATTTTTCGTAAAAACCCTCTAGGGACGCGTGACTGCACAACCCTGGGTAGATGTACCCGATTTCGGAGTCGACTCGGGGCTAACTTCGCAGCGGCTCGAAGTTACCTCCTACTCGACTTCGGAGTCTCGACGAACGGGAATGTCCCTACTCAGAGGGAACAATAACAGGGAAATATCCCGAGCGATCGCTCGAATGGCCGAACGAAGGGTCGCGTCGGAGTGGACTTAAGACCGACACCCGTGAAGCGGTCAACTCCGTTGTTTAAACAGAACTCAGACTGTATGAAACAGTCTATAGAATGAACTTTTCAAGCTGTATTCAAACAGTCGGAAGTTTTAGACAAAAATTACGGTTACCGTTAACTTGAAACATTGAAGACGGGTTACTTAAACGTCGATAGGAAGGACCGTTATCGTTAACACGACGCGCATTTTGTTACGCGATAAACGTAAGTAGCCCCGGTTAATTGGTATGCGTCGAGAGAATGTGACTTAGCAGGGAATCCATAAAGTAGGGTTTCGCGTAGCGATTTACGCCCTGGTAACATAATCTGCACCGGTGTGCATTATGACGCAAGACTGGCGTCCCACTTATACATCTGGCTTAAATCTTTTGACACGAGGCACAATGGATGCGGGATTACGCTCCCGGGTCATCCGTCGTTTCCATTTCGACGAGAGCGTGAACGCAACGCTTCCGCGTAAAAATTTATAACGATCTCTCCCGTTTCTCGGACCGTCCAACATTGCGCTCTCGACTTGCCCCCGACGTTCGGTTAAATCGCGTGCCCGATTTCTGGCAACGCAGCGTCGCCGCGACGCGAGAGAGCAGCGCGCATGTGCGATCGCGACGTATCCGGCAGCCGGGATAATCGCGGAGTAACGTTAACGCTAGTCGTGGTTCCTCTTCCATAACGGCACAGCGGACGCTTCCCGTGACGGAACGGTCGACTAACCTCCCCGGAGGGCGCGCCGGCGTCCAATGGGCGTCCCGTCGACGGGCCGTCAACGGGCCGTCGGCCGTTCGAAACGCGCGCCCTGCCGGGCCGCGGGCCTACGTGGTAAGCCAACGGTAACGTGGCGCGTAGGTGCGCCCTCGCGCCGACAGGTACGCGCACACCCTAACTCGATTAGCGGGCGGTATGAAGAATCGAAGGTGCGTCGTACCTCTCGCTCCCGGTCGTCGGGCGGATGCTTACCGATAGGGTCGGCCGGTGGGCCCTCGAGTGCGGGGTCGGTGTACGATGCCTCCGCTCGACCTGGACGAACGGATCCCGGTGACCGGCACATTAACGCGTCCGCTCGGCCAGCCACGAGTCGCGCTCTCGGTCCTCGGGAGTGCCAGGTGCGGGGAAGCCGATCGTGGCCGCGGTGGCCGCGTAGCGAGCTGCGGCGAACTGGCGCCGGGGTACTGGATCGCGCCGCGGTGAGCCGCGCTCTCTAGCCTCCGGACTGGGTAGGGGCCTCTCGAGCGGTCCCCGACACGCTTCGACACGGTGCCGCACCGCCCAGGCGAGCTGAGGGGTCGCGCGCGACTGACAGCGGCCGAGCGAGCCTCTCGCCGTTTACCTTCTGTCCGCGCAGGTACCGCTCCCGGCGCACCGCCAGATAACGACGAACGATAGGGCAGAATTCCTCCGGGAACTATGGTGCACCGGCGGCCGCGACCCTTTCACCGGTCGTTCCGCCCCAACTGCAGAACCGACGGAGCCGGTCTCTCCAAGATCGAGTTCTTTCCTACCGACTGGGGGAGATCGGCGACACCGCTTCTGCTATGCCGGCCGCTTTCTCGGGTACCCGATCGAATCGGAGAGATTCTTTAAGGTGATACGAAAGTGTGATATCTACGTACCAAAAGTCAACATATTTATAAAACTTTTCGCCAAACTGGGTGCACCGAATTTTCTGAAACTTTAACACGTAATTATGGAGGTTCTAAGGAAGAACGCACTGCCTGTGCAATTTCATTTTTCGAAAAAAAAAGGTCTTTTTTGGCAATTGTCCAAATACACTTTTTTTTTGAAAAATGAAATTTCACGTGCATCGCGTTCTTCCTTAGGGCTTCCATAATCTCGTGATGAGTTTCAAACGATTCGGTGCACCCAATTTGGAGAAAGGTTTTATAAATATTTTGACTTTGGTATATCTATATATGACACTTTCGTATCACCTGTAACGCGTTATAAAAAAAATTTCATCATTTTTATCGACATCGGAAGAATGTATAATCTCGCGGATTACTTTTTATTGCGCTTACTCGTTTTACTGATTTTGGTTTTAAGATATTGTTTTCCGGAGACGTTTATTCCATCAGAATATAAGCTCACGACCCCAACACGGCAAGTCCAATTGTATTAATATAAATCTAGAACAAAAATGACTAAAAACGGACATTGAAGCAGAAACAAGAACTTGGTGATCCGAATGTACAAAACAACCAAATGGCAAGAAAGGGCTTCAAAATACCGAACCTAATTACCACAGCTCTCGGAGACCCACAAGTAGTTAACAAAACCCTAATGTTCTTGAAAGACATTAACCTCCTACACGAATTGCAAAATTTGATCATGATATACACGCTTATGCAATCTATTCAATTCAACGATGCGTCGCTAATGACCAAAAAAAGTTGTAGCGACGTTAAATAAACAAATAAAAAAAGAACTTAGTGAATCACTGCAGGAAAACAGTCGTATACTTCACTTTAAAAAGACATAGTTGTAGGGAACTAAGCATTTAGCAGCGCATGAAAAAAATACCTTTGACCATAGAAAGCAGCTTTCATGTCCGATGTGGAAGCTCAGCCGGATTTACATTATCCAGAGAAGGAAAAATCCTCACATGATCGTGAAGTTTGGTCGAGTGGAGTCTATGGGTACTCCGGAATCGCCAGGGTCCGTCTACGGCCAATCCGGACGCATCCGCATGGATCTCCGTGCAGGTGTAAGAGCTAAAAGTGCCTTTGACCCGGCAGAGGACTCGTCGGACGCGGTTTTACGAGCGCGGGATTCTTTTCAAGAATCCCTGGAACGTTATTGCCCCTGCACCGGCCGCGCGACCGCGAGGAAAAACGGGCTGATTCCAGCAATTGGACGTCATAGCCAAGTCCGTCTAACCTTGCCAGGAAATGAATTCATCCTGCGAGTACCGACGCATTTATTTCTTTAGTACCGTTCCGTTGTATTTCTCGGAAACAGCGTTTACAGGTCGTCTTTGGACATGTACTGGACGCTTTGAACCCCTTGGAGCGAGTTGCCGGCAATTTTTAATGATAAACTCTTCTTCCATAATCCATGAGCCTGCGTTTCGCTGCCGTGTAGCTCATTAATAAATGTAATGCATCTTGATCCTTGACAATTCGGCAGATCGATTAGCAACAAAATATATATATATGAAAAAAGCGATGGAGGGCAGTGGACTTAACTAATACGTAGTTATTAATATGTACGTATTTCACGCTCCTTAATGCAGGGACTTATTTAAGCGTGGTTAATAAATGTAGGTGTAATAAGGAATGTACGGCATTTATGGAACTGTTGTATATGTACATACAGGGAAAGGTAGAACCGCATTCTTTCGCAGGATTCCGAATGGAGCGACAAAAAGAAAACTGAATATTTTGGGGCGAGAAAGAGAAACGGAGGTACCGGATTCTGCTAAAAAGGGAGGGCGATGCATGCTGGCTCTCTCTGTTGGCGGAGTTACGTACTACGAGAAAATGGTAATTTCTTGGGCCGGGGTCACGTGAACGTCGTTTCAACGTCCGTTGCAACAAATCTACATTCGAAAAGATGTACTCGCGTGGATGCACGAATGTTAAAAATTAACAAACGCACGAGTTAAAAATTAACGTCATTTTTTACGCTTGTCTGGCTTCAACACGAACTAATGTATTTTGTTACACGAACTAATACTTTTTGTTAGATCGCATCTCATTAATATAATTAAAAAGACGACAGAAAGGGTCGTGTTATTACACACCAATTATGTGAAATGTTGCATTAAACCATAATTCCATTTCATTTTAGAGTTTAGTTCACCAAGAAGCCAGAGTTTGGAGACTTAGTATATTATCTTATTTTCGGCATATTTGAAACTGTTAAGCACAATTATTTAACAATAGCTAAACTTATTAATGAATGAAATCGAAAATTGAAATCTGTCCTAGTACAATCCTTAACAACATTTAGTAAAATGAGCTCAGCATTTTTGAAATCGTTCCTTTTCCCATTAATCGACTAAACGCAATTGAAATAGTGCGATATCTATGAAAAGCAGTAAGTTTACAACTGCTTATGCACTGAGAAAGTCAAAAATGTCGATAAAAATGCTAATAACTATAATTTAATTAGTACGAATCTCTGAATTTGAAGACTAACGTGCAATGTACATACAATGTCACTTCTATATATTTTTGTTCAAGTTTTAGTTATTATAAAAATAAAATATGTTACGAAGCCCTGGAAAATGTGGTTTAGACGAATGAGAGAGATGGAGCTTTGAATTATTGCCTTTTTATCATTCCCTTTTTAATGGAGGACTTACTGTGATTATGAGGAATGTTACAGTGTTGATCAAGTGCCATTATGAAGATGTAAGTTAATTGTCTACATAAATATGCACTATTTATGAACACACTGTTTGAAGATTAAATTACAGTAAAACCTTAATTATCTGGACATCAACACCTGAATTTGTTTTATCAAATATATTCTTAATCATGATATTAACTAGATCATAGGAGGTGATACTCATGAAAAATATTGCAATTGTGGCATTCTAACTATTGCCAGTGATATCATTCTCAATATTTTCACGTTCTGATTATTTTATATAAAAGTTTGTCCTTGGTTTATGTCAGGTAATTTGGATTTTACTGTAAATAAAACAAGAATGAAAAGTATTCAGTTGTAAACAATTGTTGAATTGCAGACACTAGTGTTGTACACACTAAGAACTAAATAATTGTATTGCAATAAAGACTGTAATCGAATCTTGTTTCATAATGGTGATGTTCAACTATATTAGTAATATAGTATTCCACATAACTGATATTAAGACAGATACAAGATATGCATATTTTTTATTCCATGCTTCATCGTAGAGGTCAATAATAGATGATAAAGTCGAAGCATTTAAGGCATTGATAATATTGATCAAGTTATTCCATTCAGTGGCAACTATCTGCTGTAAATGGTCTTTGTACTGATACTTGTATTAATGTTTGTCCATCTTTCTTCTTTTCGCTTTGATGTCACTTTAAATATCGAGATATAATAAAACTTGATTGTCTGATTTATGTATGTGCATACCTTGTACCGATTTAACATATCTTATATTAATATAAAATAAGTTACGACCAAGTTGATACTGTACAATGTATCATTTGATCGCAGTTATAAATAATGAATTATCATATAATAAATTGAATCAGTGTATAATAATTGATCAGTGTATAATACATTTAACAGATGTACCATATTAGATTTTCATACTTTGGTCGATATTCTTCATATAAATATTTCATTCGATGAAATAGCATTTTGTTGTATCATATTAATTTTGCCTAGAAGCTAACTTTTAATTACATATACCATAGTCATTTTCACGAACTTCTCCGTTTAGTACTAGAAAAATTAACATACACAAATTTGATTTACATGGTCGTAAAAATTATCAGAGGTGGTACACATTAAACTACACTGATCTTATTAACGTTCCAAGAAATCATAGCACCTATACTTTTTAAGCATATTGGTAACAATTTACGATACAACTGCATACGTAACATCATTCACATCATCACACACGTAGTTTGACATTTTTCTGATATACCAGACTGCTACAGATATTCAAAATTCTATGAACTACATTAAATACAATAATAATATACAATATTTGACTGTAGTAGAAGCTATAAAAATAGCTCTTCTTTCTGTCTGGCATTGACATTTATAAACTGACATTATTTTATAAGGAAATCATCGAAAATAAAGTACCACGACTTTCATCATCGACGAACATGTAAATCTTTTCCTGCCGAAGCAGTACATTTCATACTTTTCGTAATTAACAAACACCAATCTATTTCACAAATTTATGTAGCATATAATATCAACAGAATATACTGTAGTGAAGAATAACATTGATTAAAATAGTATTATGTTTGATTTAAGTGAAGTAGGGCTAGGAAAACATTACGTAAGTATAAAATGTCGATAATTCTGGATATGAACCATAAATGCAGAACCACAATATTCATAACAATATTCTTTTACGACAAGTATATAGTCAATCATTTCAAACACCATCACAATGATCTCGACTCGTACTAACTTTACTTAGAATATATTATATTCTTGTAACGTATAAAAAATGAAAGTATGTCTGTTTCCAATTGATTCTATTATTCCATTAATAATTAAGTCGCACTTGTCATTTAAAAAAAATGACATTATAAATCAAGACTAAAAAGTAACACCCTTTCATATAAAGTTACTTGTTTTGCGAGTACAAGGCTGTAGTTTCTAGAAAGTGACGACACAATTCTGAAAAATATCTGCTGAAAATCTGCCATTTACTTTTTTTCCCTGCTACATACATACTCCTCTTTAATTAAATAAGCATTGCCTTATACAATTATTTGATATTACACAAAGCGAGCAATGCATTCAAGATTAGAGTTACTTACACAGTCATAAAAATAGGCTCTGGGTTCATTTTAATGACGCGTTCGATGCTTCCTACTCCTTTCTCGTATTGTATAGTAGAATATTTTTCTAAACATACGTTTTCAGAAGTTTATTCCAATAATGCTGTAACGTCCCAAATTTTTATGACTCGATCCTGACCAATGGTCAACAACCTACGTCGAGGAGCATCAAGATCCATCCCAGTGACATTATGTTTTGCATCATGGAATGATGCCAAGGAAGTTTGGCTACAATTAAAAAGATAAAAAAAAATCATTAGTAGCATTACATGTGTACAAGAATTTTTAAAAACATTTGTAAGCAGAAGTATGTTGCTGCTTACTTTGCTGCTTTAATTTGAAGATTACAAGGGTCACACACACGAACTTCAAATTCAAAACCCATTGTAGGTATCGGTATACGTCGGCTAGTGCAAAGGGCACAAAGTGCTCTTCCACAATGACGACAATGATGTTGTCGATATCCTAACTGACGTTGATCCATCATTGCTTTAATGTTCCAGAAGAAAGGTTTCCCACATGACTAGAAAAATTAATATATTATATTTATATTTGACAAATCAAATTGTAATAACAAATGAAGCGTGATGGTCATGAAGATAGTATTCTTACTTGGCAGGTATCAGATTCCACCCAAGTTGCTGTTTCTTTCCTGTTCGCTGCCATGTCCCAACATACTATCACTCCATCTTCTCCTCCGGAGAGTAATACACGCTCCATACTTGCATAACAAAGGGCTGTCACCTTATTGCTAGAAATTAATTGTATGTATATTATTTCAATTATTTTACTAAACCTCTATTAGATAAAATTTCAGCATATCAAAATAATCGAAGATACGTTTAATTATCCATATCGCAAGGAATTGTGATAACATACTGATGTCCTTGAAGTTCATAGGCAGTGCCCTGACGTCCTCCAATGTCCCATACCACAATGCTTTGATCAAAACTTCCAGAAAAAAGTAATTGCTTTTCAGAATCCCAGGCTAATGCACGAATGCTGCCAGTATGAGTTTTTAAAGTTGTAATCAATGTAACACCAGTGGCAGTTAGTTTTAGCATTGCTATCTGCCCAGAATAGTCTCCAACAAAGGCATGTTTTGATTGCGCATCAAATCTATTCATTTTAAGATATTACATAGTCAAGTAGGGTTTTTAAATATTAAAGTGTTACTACTTATTATATTAATGCAGTACTATCATTTGGAAAAGAAAATTCACAAATGTTGTCAGTAATATTGAAAAAGGATACTGCAATGCTGTATACCACGCATCCGTTTGGTAAGAACCAAGCTTTTGACCAGTTGCAGAACAATGAAATTGGAAAACTTTATCACGACCAATGCTGAGAATCCATTCGCAGTTCAAAGCAAATATGACTCCAGTCACGCGTCCCTGGTGCGCCAAATACTCTCTCATTGGCGTCATTCGATTATAATCTTGTTCCAAGATAAATTCCTATATCATGTATATTTAAATACGTTACTAACATTATACGTTTATTTCATTCACTGCTACTTCATTAATGATAATGCATACATTTATGTTTCCATTTTCTAGTCCAACAAACAGTTGTCTCGTCTCTGAACAATAGTCCATAGCTGTTGCCCCAGCAGACATATACTGACAAACGCTTGGCCAGTACTGGCCAGAATCACGTTTTAGCCATACTCTAAGTGTCCTGTAATTTCAAGTTTTATAATTTGTAAAAGAAATACTTTTTATCACATTAACCAGGGGCTATGAATAATTAATAAATTTTGGTAAGAAATTTTTCAAAGGTAATAATTTCTTCAATATATATGAAATGGAGTAATAAATGAACCGTTAATGCCCTCTGACTTCAGCAAACGAAAACATAAGTAGGTAAGATAATCAATAATTCTAAAAATTTTAAAGAATATCCTATTTTTTAGAAGTGTATTTATTTTAATTTCAAACATAAAATGGATGAAACCGTATGATTCGATGATAATAGGAAAAAAAGAAAAATAATAAATCTAGAACCAAAATGTAATATTACCACAGGTGCATAAGTTTAAGCTTTAATCATATATGTATTATTATAAAATAAAAATGATGTAAAATAGTTAAACAATTTTTTGTACTTCATACTGCAATATACCAGTATTACAAGATATATTATCCTTTACAACTTTTCAATATATTCCAACCCACTATAAACCTGAAGCTTTAAGAGAAAACAACACAAAGTGTTTCCAAGAATACAAAGCATCATGTTATTAACTGTGAAACTGAAAAACAGAGTACCTGTCATCGCAAACGCTGATAACACCTTCTTCCCGGGGAATGATAATAGCAGCGTTAACATCGTGATTACAACCTTCTAATTTAGACAACAGAATAGGTTTCCTGTTGGCACTAAACCTGTCATGATTAGCGCCTGGAATTGGTTTGATTTCTGCTGTCATTTCAACTACGACACTTTACTCTTGCCAATAAGATAATCATTTGACCGTTGTCAGACTTCGATATCGAACAGGGTTTATAAGAGCCAGAGATGAGTTGGGAGACTGCTCATGGGCTGGGTCGCGCGATCGTGTTCTGTCCTGCCTTCGATGGAGAATGCAGGCGGCTCATACACTTGCCACCTGATACCCCCAGTGACGGTTCAACTCAGGGAACCTCCTCATTTTTGCTCCCAACTCATCTCTGTGTAGAGATGAATGCTCTGTGATAACAAACATTCTTTAACATCTTTTACCAACAATTCCAGTATGCTCTACGGTAATGAACTACCCATTGATGGGGAAGGTTGTTCGGTTTAAATTGATCTCTCGAGCTAGTGGCTGCGATTTTTTTCGGAGGAGACACAGGGTTTGAATTGATCTCTCGAGCTAGTGGCTGCGATTTTTTTCGGAGGAGACACAGGGTTTGAAGTTTTTGTGAGGAGTTCATCACTTTTTTAGCTTGATGGGGAAGATTGTTCTGCTTAAATTGATCTCTCGAGCTAGTGGCTGCGATTATTTTCGGAGGAGGTACAGGGTTTTGGAGTTTTTGTGAGGAGTTCTTCACTTTTTCAGCCGGTTCTCCGGCTGCCCAGATTTGTAACAGGTGGCAAGTGCATTAGCCGTCTGCATCCTCCACCGGAGGTCGAACAGGACGCGGTCGCTCGATCCTTCCCGTGAATCTCTCAACTCAGCTCTGATTTGGCAGAGATGAGTTGGGAGATTGCCATAATGGTAAGCCACGACCGTCACTACCGCATGGTATTACCATCACGAATACGTGAGCCGCCAACGGCAACTGGTAGATGGCACAGCCATCGCGATTGCGCGAGTCCCAACCAGAAATTCGTTGCGCCGCCCTTGGGGGCAAGAAACGGTGAAAGCTAACGTACGAAACCAGAGGGCAGCACACGATGCGATCGCGCGGCCCTGCCCGTGAGCAATCTCCCAACTCATCTCTGTAGCATGTTGACAGACGTATCACGTGGAAATCTGTGAACCATACAACTTAGAAAGTTGTGAACTGAAATTTGTTGTCACAATGTCGTTGTACGACCATTTGTGCAATGCTTGTCTTTTACTAACTTTAATTAATAGGTTATCTCTGATTACACAATAATTGCATGAAGTGAAATCGTAGTATTTTTCTGTCCTATGATATGTAGGAAGTATATTTATGTGTATTAATTGATTATTTCTTTACAATGTCTTTGAAATCAACAATATCGGGATTCAAGGTAACTATGAAGCATACTTATACTAACCATACCCTGGAAAATATGACTAATGGTTATTTTTAGCATATCTTTTATAACTCAATAGATTACATACCAGAACCATGTTGCATCTCATTGTTTTAGGGGGAAAGTGATGTTGAAAGTGAGTTTAGAAGGCAAGGATCGTTTCGAAAACTTTTACCAATTAATACCAATGGTGATACGCAGTTGAGCATGTCAGCGAAAATGATCGATAGGCCAACAATTACCCAAAGTAACAAGGAATACATCACTTACCTGCAGGAATATAATATATTATCTGAATAGTAACTATATTTTGTTCTTCTGATTGATTTGATTTTCCTATTTGGTTATATTCCTATAACCCATTGCAATTTAGGGGCATTTAAATGAATTTTGTATTGTATTTTTAGTCACACGTTAAGTCATCAAGATTTAAAAGGAGTTTACGTCATACCTTCAGCACAAAATTCCTTCCGTAAGTAAAAGTAGCAAAAGATCATTTTTACATTATTTGTGTAACTTTCTTCCAGAATCTAATATATTTTGAATTTATCAGTTTGGTTTGGAGTACAATTTGTACGGCAGGGGTTTTTTCGAGGTGGCGTATTTAGATTCACTGTAACACTACCTCCTAATTTCCCTGATGGTGGTTGTCCGGTAAGATACATATTCTTTAATATTACAATCTTGCTAAAAAATTGATTCATAGAAACATAGGGTGTAATGACAAAAATGTTTTAGAAAGTTGTGCTTCAATCCAGTGTATTTCATCCACTTATAAATCCTGAAACTGGAGAATTGAACACAGCATGGGGATTTCCGGAATGGAGGCGAAATAATCGAGTTTGGCAACTGATACAATTTATTACTAAGATTTTTACCAAAGTAGATCCAAAAATGACCACCATAAATCAAGAAGCTTCTACATTGTAAGTTATATACTCATTTTACTCTATATTTAATTATTACATAGGAAAAAGTCTCTTGATAAACAAAGTAATCCTTTTGTTATTATATATAGATTAGAAACAAATATAGAATCATTCCAAGAAAAAGCCATGCAATGTGTTAAAAATAGCCAAAGTCAGATGTATGATCCTCCTACGGTGGATGATGCTCACTATATAACGTTTAGTCCATACGTAAATGACTTGCATGATCCCATTAAGGAAGAAATTTATAAACCAAAGGTAAAGTATACATTCCTGAAAAATTCACGTGCCTTAATTTTTCGATCGAAACTGTATCTTTTTAACATATTCTTATACACTAGGAGGAAGATAGTAATAAAACTTTAGGTATTTCTTGGGTTCAACCTGGATCGTTACAACCTTTTTCAAAACCTGAAACAAGATAACAATTATATTTTGAAAAGGTAATACGAAGTTCATAGAAATACGTAACATGACTAAATGAACACTGTTTCCATGCACATTTTGTGAAAAATGCGAACAAACGTAAATACTTTTAATACTTTTTATCAATGTTAAATCACTAAGATATTTGTAAAACAAAACCTTGTGTAATTTTTTTCACGATTTATATTGAACTGAACAAATTAAGTAAGAACAGCATTTTTAATACTCATTTTTTTTTCCCTGACTCAAAATGCTATATTCTTCTATTTTTAAGGATATTATATACATATATTAGCACTATGGAAGATTCATCATTCATTAATGAAGCAAATGTAGTGTACACTATTACTACGTAAATAAAAAATTAGATCATTATTTCTTTGGATAAACTTTATTTAGTACTAACATAGTAATGATACAATTAACTATAATTAGCTTTAGAAACTCTAGTATGTTAGAAAAGTGGTATGTAACACAGTCTCCGTGGTCCAACTTGTAGTTTATCAATTTCAGCAAATACCTTTTAAATGGTTCAATTATAGAAAAGTTGAGAAAGCAGATGTCTAATGTGTTTTATATTTATTGTACATTATAACTGACCTAGGAAAAGTACAAACGCAGAAATTGAGAAAAACTGGAACTGTACACGGAGAAAAATAAGAGCTTAAAAGTTATAGATGCCTATCTGTTGAAAAGGTCTGTTCTCGATACAGTTAAAAGCTGTCCCATTAAACAATTAATTCAGCTAACTTTACTTTCTCACATGCACAGTTAACAGAACATCTCTGTAAGAGTCATCTGCAAATGCAGCTGAAAATGGCTGTTAATATTGACCGGGATAAAACTGGTATATTTGAAACATTATAAAATTGTAGGAGCAACAACAAATATGTTGATATTACAGATTCACTCTGTTCGGGTTATCGTTATTGGAAAAGTTAAACATACTGGTAAGCGTTATGGATAAAATCTGAAGATTTCGCAGATTGAATCTGTTAAATTTACTGATTTCTTCCGTAGAAGTACCATATGCAAGCATCCCATAGAACAGTTGAATGTACATGCGAACAGTTGCGCATCGGAAATGTCTTTCTTCTGTTGAATGGCGCGCGTGATGCCTCGATCAGCCTCGCTGCTAATAACTCTCGGTTCCTGTTCAATTTTAGTATTTTCACATTAATTATTGTGTCCATAATATATAAATTCACATTTACAGTCAATCTCGTTGTACGAAGTTCTAAAAAAATATTACTTCTATGTTTTTCAGAGGATTCTAAAGATCGTGACAAACCTTAACAAGATCCTATATACGTCAAAAATCCAAAGGAAGTATTCTTTCCTAAATTTTAAAAAAAGTTGACTCTTTCATAAATAAAGAAATTTAAAGCCAAGTGTCATGCAGCCTTCAAACTGTAAGATTCAAGTGTTTATATTGGAGTTTCTCAAAATTCCTGATAATCATTTTAATGGTATAATTATATTTTATAGATATCCAGGATGACAATACGGAAATCAAAAACTCCTTTAGAATTTTGGAAATCATGGGTGTCAGGGCCTTCCTTATAGCCTCCATGTTCACGTTGTAAAGTTTGTAACGATTCGGTACATCCAGTTCGTAGAAAAGTTTCATGAACGATTAACCTTTCAGATGCTACTTTCACATCCCCTTAAGGAATGTTAGTCCCATCGCAACTATTGAAAATGTATCTCCAATGCCGTACAAGTCAGGGTTACCTTTGTCATTCTTGATGCTTTTCTATGTTAATATATACTTCCAGTACAGGAGGTCGTATCCGTTTTTCCGGAAACTCGGAAAATAGCTCTTCAACCGAACCCTGCTGCGAGTAGGGCGCCTGCGGTTCGTTCAAATGACTTTGTGGATCACTTTCTAATGTGCATCTGGACAAGGGACTTGAAATACTTTAGAACTTTTCGAGCGGATACCTTTTGTCCGTGAAACCGTGTGGTCTTTCCGGCTCTCGTCTTCATTTTCCCCCTGTCACGTGCTCGATTCAAGGCAACGAGTGCGGAATTGTCCTGCTATAGTACAGCCCCCGAACAATTCAGTTCTTCTCTCTTGCGTGACTTTTGAGAAGCAACGAGCGTGAATCAATAGCATTGTCAAAATACGAAAGTCAAGGGCGCGATTCGGAGCATATCCTAGCAAGTGTCAAGGCATAGAGGAGCACACCATGTGCAGTTTTATTTTAACGAAAGAGGATTTATTACCATTTACTTTTATACAAATTAATATCCAGCTTAAAGTTTATTCAATCTAAGAACAATGTATCTTTGGGAATAATTGTATTTGCTTAATCATGTATTTCGGTGAAACGCGAATGAAGTCTATTTTTGTTACTTTTTAACAGATGGAATTGACTAGGGGCGAAATTGTTAACGCTTTAGTCATTTACTAACTCCAGCAGGTACGATAACTTTTGTTGTAAGCAAAATGATTTGTATTTTTAGAGAGTCATCAGTTTCTTCTTCCTTACGTTCTTCCTTAAGGCCGTCATAATCACGTGTTAAAGTTTCCAACGATTCGGTGCACCAGTTTGGAGAAAAGTTTTATAAATATTTTGACGTTTTATATGCACATATAGAATGATTCTTTCCTATCACTTTATTACTTTAGCCTACCGGCGAATTTGGAAGTAAACGGCAACCACGGGTATCGTAAACCCGATTAATAGGCCCGGTAGATAAAGTGTTAATAACGAGTTTTCTGCCAATACACGTTCCATTTGTTTACACCGCGGTAAAATAAAAATGATACCGTCTATCCGCTTTGATGCTTCCCCTAATACTTTTCTATCCTCGTGGAATCCTAATGGATTCTCCCAATTCCTTCCAACTTCTCTCTACCGCATCGTATCTGTCGGCTAATGCCTCGGGGGGCTTATTTACGGTGGAAAACTTGCTCGGGCCCCCCACGGTGCAAAGTAGCCATTCGCTCCCGTTCTTTGCAGGCCTGGGCACCGGGAAAGCATAGAAAATTTCCAGGGAGCCCGGGGCTACGAATCCCGACATAGCAGTCATCGATTCGAGATGATTAGCGATAATGCAAAGGTGGAAGCACGCGGAGGCACGTCTTCCGCGCTCGATGCGTGACCGGTTGGGCACAGGCGAGCTTATTCGGTGTCGGTCAGTGCCGCTCGATACGGCACGATTGCGTCTAATTGAGGTAACCACCAGGCGCAATGGTGCGTCCGATCGGCCAGAGGGAAGAGGGTAAAGTCGGAGGAAGAGGGAAAGAGAGAGCCACGGCGACGTAGGATGGCTCATCTCCTGGCAATCCAGGCCAATCCCATCGAATCGGCGAACGACTGCCTCCCGTTTCTACGTTTGCAGCCTCTGCATTTCCTTTCGCACGTGCCGCAATGACGCCGTGCGGACCGAAACAGCGAAATGGCGAAATGACGAAATGGCAAAATGGCGACTCGATCATTATCGAAAGGATCGATCGTTTCCACGGGTTAAGATGACATGAAAGGCGCCGAGACATTTAATCCACGTCGATAAATTAAATTTCATCTATACCCTTTTTGGTGGTAGCGTCAATTTGAATACTCAAGTCGTGGCATAAGCTGACGCGTCACGTTACGGAGGTTTATATTTATGTTGAAGTATTTTATAGTTTACGTTGATAATTATACGAACTGAAGCGTTTCATGTAATTTCGGTAAAGTAATGACTTGTAATCGTTGGTGAAAGTATTTTCCACATTTTCCCATCTGACCCTGTAATATTATATTTCTACGGTATTCTAAATTGTTCGAGCTAGGTCCTGAAACTCTTCATTTCCGATTGAAAGCCTCTATAAAACATTAAAAACGTGCACGGACCACGCCATGTTGATTCTAGTCCATGATGAATAAATACATTTTTTATGAAAAATGAAATTTTATGGGCTTCAGGACCTACTTTAGGGTCTCCATATTCACGTGGTAAAATTTGAAACGAATCGGTACACGCAATTCGAAGAATACTTTCACCAACGATTTGACCTCTTATATGTATAGGCTGACTCTTTCATCTTACCTTAATTGCCTCAAGATCGTTCCTCTGTACAAATAATAAACGAGTCGCCGAATAGTTGGCCGAATACGGCGAACGTTTGATTCGCGTATATTCCGCAGGAGGCGCAGAGATCGCTTCGAGTACTGGATTACCGGTTGCGCGGAGAAGAGGAATTCCGATATATCTTTGGAACAAAAGAGCCAGCCGGATGTCTCTTTGGATAGAAAGCCGGTTATAAGTTAGCGAAAAAGAAGAGAGGAATGAACATAATACCTTTTTTATGCTACCAAGGAGCCTTCGGAATTCCAGAAACGGAGACGACTTATTTGTCCGGTATCGACTTGTTTCTTTTTGAAAGAAGAGAATATCGGATCGTTAGCGACGGTTGATTTGTGGGGAAAAGTGTTTAAAATTGAAATAACGAATCGTACTATAGTGAGGGAAAAATAGTGCACTGTTGCTGACAAAGTAATTATGACCAGGGTGCTAGGTCATCCTCGGATACCACGCGTAAGCATAACAGCGAGCATAACGGTAAGAACTGGTCAATCAAATTCCATAAAATTTAACACAGGGTCAATGTTTGGCCATTTTTTACAATATTAGTTAAGTATACGAAATTCTGTACTTATTTCAAACTTTATAGTTAACACGAGCATCGTGGTCATAGTGACTAAACATACACAGTGCTCTCGACAATAAATTTAATCAAGTAAATAAGATAAACCAAATTGTCGTACATTACGGTATACAAGTTTCATAATTTATTCCTACACCTCACATTTGATGAAATACGAACGACCGGGTTATAACAATACGTGGTATTTAAGATGATATGAAAGGCGCTGAGAAATTTAATTGACGGTGATAAAATAAAATTCATCTATACCCTTTTTGGTGGGAATGTCGTTTTGAATACTCAAGTGGTAGCAGAAGCTGGCGCGTTACGTTACCGATATTTATATTTATGTTAAAGTCTTTTACAGTCAACGTTGATAATTATACGAACTGAAGCGTTCCATGTCATTTCGGTAAAGTAATGATAAAGAGACCGATGTAAAACCGTTGAAATCCCGCGAATTCATGACTATTTATATTCTAACGGACTTACGTCGCCATCTGTGACGTTTAGCTGCAACTACATTTTTACGCTAAAAACACGTTTAAGCCCCGAGACAAGCCAGCATTCTCTTGCAATCATTCGTGAAAGTGTTTTCCATATTTTCTCAACTGACTGTTCCATTTCTACGGTATTCTAAATTGTTCGAGCTAGGTCCTGAAACTCTTCATTTTCGATTCTAGGCCTCCAAGAAGCGTACAACTTCAAAAACGTGCCCGGACCGCGCCATGTTGGT